ATTATTTGTATTGAGTTAAGTGTAAAAGAAATAGTCAAAAATGTATCATTGACCCCGACGTGATTTGAACACGCAACCTTCTGATCTGGAGTCAGACGCGCTACCGTTGCGCCACGGAGTCAGATGACTGAAATACAATTTAACACTCCTGTCAGTTTCAATTTATTAGCCCCTTCCTATAAAACCAAAACAACCAACATAAATATAAAAAGTTTACAATACTTTGTAACACAATTTTATTCTTATGACCGAATCTCAAATAGCCTAATAAAATAGTAAAGACAAAACTTCTGACAGTTTTAAAGATTAGATGCTCTTCTGAAATGAATCATTGTCATAAAATATGTGTTTAAATGTGGATTTAAAATGGGATAAGGCTTATCGTACTTCAGATACCTAATTTTATTTTTCTGCTTCCGAATTTTGAATCACAGATATCTGAAAAAATAGTAAATTGCTAGTATATTTTTAAAATATAGTAAAAAAAATGTAGATGCCTATATATATGTACATTATTTTTTTTATTCTTTGGTTTGGTTTGGTGTTTGGGAAATAATCTAAGAAAAATGTCATAGAATATTGTTAGCTTAAAGTATAGAATTGTACGTCTTGTAGATTGTGTTGTGTTTTTACTGGAAATGATTGCTTTCGAACTGCTGGCAACGTTTGCTGTGGATTAATTTAAATTATATTAATCATTTTGTTTTGTTTTTATTTGAAAGTTGGCAAAGGAGCATACGGCCCATTTGATGGAAGGTAGTTACCATTGCCCATAGACATCCGCAACATCTTTGTTGCGAATGCGTTGCCAACCTTATTTTTTAGGGATAGGGAGGGGTGGGAATAAGGAAATGGTAGGAAAGGGTGGGGATAGGGAAAGGCAACCGGCTCTCTCAATCATCGGACGAAACGCAGCTATTAAAGGCTACTTCACGCCGATCTTCTGTGAGAAGCTGGTACTTCCCTGGTCGAGCCAGCCCATGTTCGAGCTGTAGTAACTGACCACAGCTAGGCTCTACCACCTAAAAATGTAAACTAAATAGTAAGATTTAATGAAGATGTTTAATTTTAATGTCATATTCAATCCACAAAACACAATTACAGTGATCAAGTAAAATTTTGTGGTAAATTTGATTGTTTATCTCGGGTAGGAAAACATACAATTCACTGTCTTTTAACTCTATCTCATTTCGTCACTCCCCTTTGGTCAGAAGAGAGTAATAAATCGCTTTGCACTCAACGTAAAAGGTCATAAGTGTTACATAATTATCATAAACAAAGAAATGAATGTCATACTTATCCGGTATTAATGTCGTTATCAGGGCAATGAACAGATTAGTTGTATGAACTAAGAGCCCCTCTGGGTGGCAATCATATATTTGGTTTTGTTCTTCACTTCTTTTGAATACTAATAAACTTCGTGTTTTTTAGTTTCAAGATTTCGTTTTTCTGTAACTAAATAAAACGACACTCTTGTGAATGTATTATTTCATTCTCTTTTCGATCCTTAAAACGATAAGCGTCTGTTAATTTGCAAGTAAAATAGTTAAACATTAATTATTAAAATGTGTACTACAAAAGAAATCACCAAATAAAATTGTTTATAAGTGCTTTTTCTGTACCTTTTACATACCTCAATTGGCAAAACGGGCGTCTATGTGTGGTCACATTTGGAGTAGGCAGAATGAAGCAAAAAGATCACGAACTTTGCCAATAGCAACATAAATAAGTGTATTTGGATAATGTCGACAATCATTTATCAAATGTAAAAACTATTCCTTAATTCCAATGTTTTTATGTTATTTTAATTATTTTAGAAATTATGCATGAACAGAATAACGGAAATCCAGCCATATTAATATTCAACCGATTTTGAGTGTATTTTATAAATGTACTTCCAGAATTAAGCACGCAACCGTTAAGGAAAGTAACACTAAAATAAAATTTAAGCGTTCAGTTGATAAAGATATAAAAATTATGTAAATAATTAAGTCGGATTTTGTCGAAAACCGCTTAATGTTTGTAAAAAAATAATGTAAATATAAGTAGAGAACGAGATTTAGCATTTTTTTATGTAATATTTTATATTAATTATTAGTATAAAATAAAAACATTTTTCGGCTACTTTTTTATGTAAAGTATCAATTTACATAGTTTTAAAACATGTTTTAAATAAATATTTCATATTTAACGATGCAATATTTAAATCCACTTACATTTGTTTCTTAATCAATGCATTTCATTAAACATATATTTATTACTATTTTATTTAAATCGCTTTGGTTTTACTTAAATATATTGAAATGTAGGTACCTATATTTTGGTATGATTATCTTAAAGTAACTTTATAATTCAAACTTTTTTTTAACTCACGATAGTATTATTACTAATGTAATATTCTATTAAACCTCTTTTTTGTTTTGTTTTTTTTTTATAATTTTTTTATATTTTATGGTAAGGGGTTGTTTATAAAAGGATTTAGACTCCTTCCAAATCAAAACTTGACAGGCTGACATATGCCCAAATAACAGAGGATTCAAAGGTTATTTTATATCTTTTAAAAACTTTGTATGTAAACACTGTTAAGGGTTATTCAACTCTCATCGTAATCACATTACAAGGCCACAAAATTCTGGCTCAACCAGTCAGTTGTTATTTACAAGATTTTGTTTGAATTGAATTTGGTTTAATTTACAAAAGAAAGAGGTTATTTTTCTCGTTATTATGTGGTTATTATATGACATAAAAAATCTAGTCTGAAAGCGATTTCATGATGTAGACTGGATAAGAATTGGTTGACAGTAACATTATTTAATCCTTCTATGTTTTTAACTAATTTAAAGTATAGAAATTATACTTTTTCCCAATTCGGACTCTCCCAATAACCTAAATCTCCAAGAGAGAGAATAAGGAGAATTCTGCAACCTTATTTTTAGTCATTTGTAACTTAATTTGTTTTAAGAAAACAGAAAAACACAATGGTTTCTTAAATGAAACTAATGGTTTTTTTGGATTACTAAGCGTATTTTCTTATTTAGAAAAAACTAACATACTCCCGACGTTTCGGTTACTTTACAGCAACCAACACGAAACAGACGAGATGTAAATGTCTGTGAGATGGTCTTGTTATTTTATCACTTAATTTTCTGGCATACCGCTTTGGATTGACGGTAGAAAGTGCTCACGAGAAATCTTAGACAAAGACTCCGAAAAGACTCATGATCTCATTATGTTTTTTGACTTGAGTCAACAATAAAATAGTAATATATTCAGGTATATTTTCATTTCAATTTCATTAAATTTATTACGAATGTGAGTTCATTTAAATACTTTGATATGATGATAATAAATTTTTAAAACTAATAAAAGAAACTTCTCATAACCCTATGGATTCACCGTGCGGGTGCCGGATCTATCTCGTTGTAGGGAAGATTAGCTTCAACAGTGCCTGGGGGGACTTGCGACCCAGGTGTAGGTTTAAGGGGCCCTAGGCGTGGGAGGGGGGGGGGTTTTAAAAATCTCACCTCCACCGTCCTTCAAGCTCCTCTCTCTAACCTACTAGTAGTTTTAGTGAAAAAAACAAAGAATAAATACATTGTATATATCGGTGTGCTATATTTATACCAAGATTTATACAATGTATATATACATATATTGTATAAATCTTGGTATAAAATATGACGTAGAGTGGATGCCAAGACGGCGGAATTCAGAGTTCAATGAGTGCGTATCATTGAAGTATGTTATTTTTCATGAAAACCTTCGAGAAATACAGGAGCATTAAGAACAATTGAAGTTTCATTTTTGAACTATCATGGAACACTCTAGAAGAAGTGACATTAGTTACGTCAGCGAGGCTGGCGTCTCTCTCTTTTAAAAACAACGACTTTGTAATAAATCCGATACATATAATAATAAATAAGACTTTTGTATTTGCTACGTAGCTTGAAAATGCAAGCTTACACTTGGGTTATAAATATCATACTTAAAAAGGAATATTAAATTAAAAATTGAAGTATTTATTAAAAACATACTTTTTCTCGAAGATATAATTTTATAATTTTGTTTTTTATTTGCATGAATAATTTAATCATTCTGTAGAAACAGATGTGAAATAATGTCTCATGTTTTAAAAAAAAAAAGTGTTTTAATATCGTGAAAGGAAATAATACTCGTAGTTAAGTAATTTAATTGTGAACAGTACAAGAAATTGTCTTTCAAAAAGTATAATGTTTTCTAAAAATTACTTTTAAACCTGAGTTTTTAACTCATTAATTTCAGATGAGGAAAACATCAAACAAGAATCCAAGAAATCTGCTGACTGTTTAAATCATTAAAGGATTTGAATAATATGATTCTACAAGCATTGATCTATGTGAATATATATGGATTGGATTTTGTAGCATCTTTTTTCATAGTGTAATGCGATAAAATATATATTATCACTATTTTTATCATATAGTTATGAAAAATATAGTCACAATTTTATCACGGAATACTAAGATAATTACGCTTGTAGCTATGTGAAACAAACGTTTTATGTTTAGGTTGAGATATTGAATTTCTCGAGACAAATAAAAATCCATATGTTTTTAATTTTATTATTCGCAATGGTGAGCAGTTTAAGTCATATATTATTTAAATATTATTTTACATTTTTATGCAGAGATATAATATATGTTTAGTTTCAACTAATTTATCAAAATATAAACCTCATATAACTAGCCATTTGTGATACTTTAGTCCATATTTATCAAGTTTTGCTAGCCACAAATTTTTTTGCTTTGCCGTTAGGTATCTAAACAAAATCACTGATTACTAGTAAAGCTTTTGCAAGATGTATAAATAAAGATTATTTTGTCTTAAATTAAAAAAATTGCCGTTGTATATTACACAAAATATAGCCATATGAAAATTTAAGAGAGAATCGGAAAGAGCTTCCTATTTGTATGTTCCTTCTCAAAATCCTTACGGCTTGGACTATGAGCATTTTATATACATTACCTGCTCAATCTCATGCCCTTAATCTCTGGCCATTCATTGACGATGATGACTCTTACATTAAGGTTTTGTTGGTTGGTCGATTTCTCAGAAAAGTCTTTCTTTGTGTCGTACCTTATATACCTATCTTCATGAGTATTATATTTATATATTGTTTAAAAATTAAATAAAGCAGTTTGAAAAGAAAGCAGTGAAATTTTACATATTAGTTATGATGGTGTTATAGATGTAACATTGTTTTTCTTTTTCTTTGTTGTAAGTCGCTACCAATTCATTGCATTTCATTCGACGAAGGATTATCAAAGACCAGCAGTCTTAATCATTTGCTTTAATTGTGCCCTTTCCTGTGGATCCTGTGCAACGCTTGCAGGGTGCCTATTTGTGGGACATAATATAGATGCTTTCAAATATGTTTGTTACCACTAATGTGATATAGCGACAATATTTTTTAGCTTAATTATGTTGGGGAAAATAACATTTTCACAAATTTTGCCTGTTTGTTGAATATCTGAAATGGCTGAACTGATTTGAACGGGATTTTTATTGACAGGTAGCTAATTTAATAAGAAGTAATTTGGGCTATTATTTATTCCGATCCCGAAATTAGACGTTATCACGCTCGAGTGGGAAGCGAGGCGCATGGGGCGCATAAAAGATTGTTTTTTCGTAGACAGAATCGCGGGATTCAGCTAATATACTGTATAAAAGTTATTATATATTATTATAGTGTTATTGTATATAGTATACCTGATCCAAATGGAAGAGACTTGTCGGCAGACAAATTCAATATTCCGTTCTTAATGAAACGTTCCGGCCTGAAGTTTTCGGGATCACCCCATATTTTCTTGTCCATGTGTAAGCTTACATAATTGAAAGCAACTACGGTATTCTGAAACAAAAGACGATTATATGTTGTTAAAATTATATCTTGGATAATTGTCGTTTTAAGTTCAGATTTGAGGATAGCATGATATGTTTACTATGGTTTTTATGTTCTATTCTTAAAACAATTTTGTACCTCTGGTATGTGATATTTGTCAATCGTAGTAGGCTTCACAGTCCGATGTAATACTCCTAGTGGCACTAGAGTTTCAAATCTCATTATTTCTCTGATACAAGCTTCCGTATACGGCATACTGCGGAAAAATGTACCCTGATGATTTGTACATAAAAAAGTTTATTGCATAGTGCGTAATCGAAAATGCAAAGGTTACAATAGATTTTATACGACCTGAAGCTTATGTTTTATACAAAGTATACAGGCTTAAAAAGTATGAGTCAATCGACATTTGAAGAATAAAAGCAGTAATATTGTAGGACGACAATTTTCCTTTTAAGTCCAATGGATGCTCCATTATGGAAGTTAGCGAGAATTTCATATAAAAAACAATAAAAGAGTCGACTCAATCAGAATATTGGTTTGTTAAAGCTAAACCATATCTACGTAGCTCCTACAATTATTGTATAACATTAAAGCAATGTTAACAGGAACCCTATATTCCGTATGTAACAGGTACTATACTGCTCTTATTGATGGTTTTTTTATGCCATATATTTATATTTATAAACATGTATTTGTCTCTTTACTCCAATTACAATAAAATTATAATACGAAGAACAAGCTTTACATATGATATAAATTTTATATTTTATTAATGCTTTCTGAGTATATACTTTTGCCGGTCATCTAACGAGGGCATCCTATCTCTGCCAACCACTCGGTCAATTTCTTCGTGTATCTTGTCTTGAACCTCGGGTTGAATCAGTAATCGCTCGACTAAGAACGTAAGTACAGCCTGAACTGCACTCGCCGCGGGAAACATGTAGTCGGTGCAGATTAATTGGAGCTGTTCCACTGAAAAAGAGTCAAAATTTGGCTGATGAGTTTCGAAATTCGTTAAGCGAATACCTTTTTATTGTTCCCATTTTTTAATAAGACGTTATAGCTCAAGTATACTTTCTTAATACGATAAATTCTTCACGATTAATAGTTATAATAGATTTGATGTAAATACTTTGACTTTTACAAGAGGCTTCTTAATTTTATTTTTTTCCTTAACCGTCTCTATCTTCAAAATTTGGATACATTATTTAATTTTTTTTTTACTATAGTAAAAGGGGCAAACGAGCAGACGGCCTTCCCTATGGGAAGTAGTTATCGTAGCCCGTGAATGTCTGCAAGGTAGGTAGGTGTCTGTTGTTGGTTTTTCTAACCATAGAAAAAAGGACTTTCATATAAAATTGGGGAGCTCTATTAAAACTTAAATTCACAATATGACACTAAAGTTTTTGTTAGTTCCCCAGAAAAAAATACTACATACTTAAAAAATCTTAGGTAATTAATATACATACGTGAATTTAATTTTAGTAGAAACTGTTTTCAGTATTCTACAAGATATTAAAGCAAGAAAGGTAATGTAACTGGTTTTTTAGAACTAAATAGTTCAGACAATGGACTGATATAAATCTTTTGGCTTAGTGTGACACTCAGCACTTGAAAACAGGCCACGATTGCTTTTTTAGATACTTGACTATTAACAATTTGTATTTTTTATTTATGAGAAACGAGCAGAAGGTCTACTTAATGGGCAGTAGTCACTGTGGCAGTGGGCAGAAATGTCACGTCAGTCACGTTCATAGAAATCCGCAACACGTCTTATGTTGTGGATGCTAACTTGGATAGTGAGGAAGAGGGAGGAGTGGGAATAAAGAAACGACCGGAAGGGGTGGGAACTCGAAATGGACAACCGAATCTCTCACGCATCGGGCGAAACGCAGTCATAAAAGGCTACTTCACGCCGATGTTCTGTTAGAGGGTGGCACTTCGCCGGTCGAGAAAGCCAATGTTCGAACTGTAGTAAATGACCACAGCTAGGTTTTTTTAGACAAATCTAAGGGGTTGATAGGTGTAAGTAGAGTAATCTAAAAGCATATGTGCAAATTAATATAAGAAATAAATTACCCGAAAAAGTAGAACGTTTCGTATCTTTTTCTTCTTCCTTCATTTTCTTTACGTAAACATCGATAAAGTGACGTAAATGTGTCATGTCATACGTAGACATTTGATCTTTAATAATTTTCTGCGAAGTTGAAATATAAATTGTATTCTATTTAATCATGTTGTAAAATAGACCATAATATTAATTTGTTTCATAGAGTAAAACTGTACACGGAAAGAAATAACTAGACCATTTTAAATAAAATAAGGTCCCGAATAAAACAAACTACTTACATTAAAAAAATCCAAGAGATACTGGTTTCCAGAACGCAAGTCCTTATATCCACTTAGTTTTGGCATAAGATCCTTTAAGCACGGCGTAATCGATAAAGCGCCTCCTAGATCGTTTGTACCTCTTTGAAATTGGAGGGTATATCGAGAAAGTTCCCATAGTACTTTGTACTCAGATCTTGGCAATGGACTTCGGACGAAGACATGTAACATTCCATTAATAAACGGAACAGCAAAATAATCTTGTAGACATATTAAATCACCTTTAATTATAGCCTGTAATAAAAAAATATATATGGCTTGTAAAAATGTAATTAAAATGTTAACTTCAGTAATAATAAAAGTTAAACACTCATTTCTACAAATTATTTAAACACTTAAACATATATTTTAGTATGCAATTTTTCCCGATTTTTTAATCCGTTTATTTCAATTGAAATATCAGCACGAATGATTGCTACATCTAAAAAAAAATTTTATCTACGCTGTAGATATTATATTTGTTTCCTCTCTAATAAACTATGTTAAAAATACTTCAAAATGAGTGAAACTTAAGATATAGCATTTAATAATGAAGGATTTCTTAAAGATTCAACATTTTAAGGTATCAAAAAAGTCTTTGACCCCGACGTGATTTGAACACGCAACCTTCTGATCTGGAGTCAGACGCGCTACCGTTGCGCCACGGAGTCATATGACCGAAATACAATTTAACACTCCTGTAAGTTTCAATCAACTTAATATAAATGAATTGAAATTGCTCAGTTAAATAATTTCTACTTCTATACTTCTTTTCTAGCATAATTACTAAATTTCACCCTTCCTGTTATATAAATAAAAATACTTTTTTGTTGGTACAAACCTCTATCAATGTATACAATATAATAAAAATGCGTTAGAAAACAAAACTACCTTCTCAGTTGGATATTTAGGACCACACGTTGCCATATTAATCATTTCTTTTATATCGTTTGAAAAACATGTTTCCAAAGTTTCCTCACGTCTTCCGAAACCAAAATCTCTCATATAACGTAACGAGAATCTTCTTTGCACGTGCCAGAAGTAACCATCAGTAAAAAATATGCCTAAAATAATGGAATAGTTTTATTTTTAAAACAGATTATGTTTTGACATTGTTTAAAAACGTATTTGGTGGAAAGCGAAAAGAAATCTTTCACACTTTGTTATTATCTACTTAAAGTTTTTTTGTTTTTTATTACATAAAGTAAAGGTACATATGTATATAATCTACAGTATTGTATACATATTTACCCTTGCAATCTGGTATGAGCAAAATATTTTAATAAAAAAAATTGCCAATAACTGCCAGCCACATGTAAAACTTTTGAGCTAATTTTAATTCTTAGCCAACGTTGATACTTTTTAAAAGCTCTTAATAATAATGTATAAACTTCCAACAATATAAAAAAAAGCATTTAAAGAACAAATGAAGTTTAGTCACTAACAAAACGCCAGCCTTTTAGTCATAATCGATTTATTTATGTACATATGCAAATATGTATTTCTAACAGAACAGTTATAAATTGTTATATATGTTATTACATATGGAACAAAGAACTTGTTATCTGAGGTTATAGCAATGTGTCTTCACTCCCAATTGCGAGCACATTATCAAATATTTAGTTGCATTGTTTGCGCACGATCGATATTAAGAGTATTAAGATATTTTATATCTCAGACCATATCAACTTTTAATAATAAATTATACAAGGAAATGAATTGAAATAAGTTGATCTAGCTTTTATTTTCAGAAGATTGTTGTGCTAAGATTTGTTTATAAGTACTCTTACCTAATTTTTTCCAAAACGATCTAAGACGGGCGACCAGAAAATCAACCCGACCGTCAAATTCTTCACGATTGAGGCACTCCTTAATTAAATGGGGATCGTCTACTATGATTGTGACAAAACTTCCTAAGTAGAGACCTAATACTTTAGTTTTATATTCCTTTGACAATATCTTAAAAGAAGCAGCCAAGTTATTGATTTTTTTCATTAGAACGATCCAGTATCCTCCATAAATTGGTAGGTTTGGAGGTCCTGCAATAGAAGATTTAAACTTTTGAGAAAACCCAAAACAAATACTTATTACTTCATGCAATTTTAGTTCAGAACATACTATTGAAATTACAATAAATGTATGGAGATGGAAAGAAAGTTGTTTAAATAATTTTATAATAAATATACAAGATAATGAGTTCAAAACACAATCAATTGTAGATATTGGACGATTTTTACCGATGTTAAAAAGTCAGTTAACGTCAATTTAATTTGACCTAAATGAAACCTATGTACGAGAAACATACTGATAAAAAAAAATTCTATATTAAGTAAAAAAGTTTTATAATCAACTAGCTTTCCGCCCACAGCTTCTCCCGCCTGGAGTTCGGTTATATCGCGTTTCCAATATAACCTTTCAAAAGTCTGGGATAAAAACTATCCTATGTTCTTTCTCAAGATCAACTCTATCTCTGTACCAAATTTTATTAAAATCAGTTCAGTGGTTTAGGCGTGTAAACGAAACAGACAGACAGACAGAATTACTTTCGCATTTATAATATTAGTAGGGATTTTGATGCATAATGTCATAGGTTACAATTAAATGGAGCCCTTTACGGAATAAACAATTTCCTATGCGAGTTTTTTCTTTAAATAATGATACATTGTTAACATAATATCCCTGCATACTTTTTCAAACCTTCATCGTCTTACTATCTTACTAGTATGAAATATAAAATCACACATTATTAAAAGGTCACTTAATAATTCATGACTTTTGCTAATTACGATGCTAATAACTTGAACGTACCGACCGCAATTATGATAATGATTTTATGAGAGTACAATAAAATTTGAATAAGGTCATTAAAATTAAGCCAATGTACTCTACCAAAATATTTAGAAGTACATCGACTAAAACCAAATTTTCTTAAAAAGTATTGAATAATACAATTTAATCTTTAAAGCATAAATAACTGAATTAGGTAGTAAACTGATTTTAAAATAATAAAGTATAATTATCATAATACATTATATTTTTTAAGTCATTATTAAAAAGGGCTCCCTTTAAGTCGAATAAATTTTATTTGTATACCTTATAAACTATTAATTCAGTTAAATTTTGATCGTTTATAAGAAGGTGTAAGACTTTATGATTAATTGCCTAATTATAAATAATGTAGATATAATATGCCTATATATCTACTTATTTTGTTACAAATTAATACATACTTTGATAGTTAATAAAATATTCCTTTGTGTGTAGAATAAGATAATATAAGATCTTCTTTTATGAAATAATATTTTAAGAGTCTTAAATCGACGTGTAAGTCTGAACACGCATGCGACGTTTGAGTTTTACTGTTTTAAAATTGTAACGAACCTCACAAAGAATTTTAATACAAATTAGTATTTCTGTTCTGGTTTTCCAGAGTTATTAATAAGAAGCTATGGACATAACTAAAAGACACAAGAAATAAATCGAACACTTCAAATTCTGTCAGTCAGAAATTCAACACGAAGATTTCAATAAACAAAGACATGGCATATTGGATTTATTTGATCTCCTTCGTTTTTTCTCCAAATTGTACTCAAGATTTTAATTAGTCGAACAAACAAAAAAATCAGTTACATTCCACGTCTTCGCAAAATTTTCCACGATTCCAGTGCGAATGAAGCCACCGCATAAAAAAAAACTAATAAATAAAAAATAATATAATGATTATGAAGCAAACAAGGTAAATTATTATTATATTCATTTAATTTAATGATTTAAAATAATTTCTAAATGTTGATTTATTACAATTTAGAAATAACATTTTATTAATAGCAAAATTAGTTTAAATAATGAATTGAAATTGTTGCCAACATATTCAAGTTATTTTAAAATATAAAGAGAAATTAAATTTCCTAATATTTTAACACCAAATTCTCCTTACTTGTCTCCAAAATGATTTTTAAATGTAATTATTTTCAACAGCAGCTGTTTCTTACCTGGCGGAAATTTGTCCGATGGTCGTTTATACACATTTTTAAAACACCGTACAAAATAGAATATAATAAAAAATACTAATATGAGCAAACCGATCATAATGAACTATGACACGCTACTACACTGGAACGTTGACTCTTAGTATATCACAAAATGTATGATTTATTTTAAACCATCTCTTTATCAATTCATAATGTTCTTGTTTAATCAAATTATAATTAGGATATACACATTTCAATTGTCAAACATAATTAAACAAATTAAAAGATTACTTATTGTGTTAATTAAGGGTATTACTTAATTTTTATTATAAATTAAAGTATATTAGTATTTAAAGTAAAATTGATTTATTGTTGTGATTATTTGTAAAAAGTCAGCAAAATGTTAATGCCTCGGGCCTGCAACACAAAAAAGGGCCTCAGTTCAAAGAGTCGAAACTACAGAACTTCTTTCAATAACAAGATATTGCAGATTCTATTAATAAAAAATAACTTTCATCTGCTTCAATCTGCAAAAGCAGTTAACCTTGAGATTTACCAAAGAACAATTCAAATTGCATTAATATAGTCACATTGTATATAAACTTTAATAAGTATTAAGAAAAGAAGATTAAAAGTATAACGGCTCCTGTTACAAATAAAGAAGACTCTAAGAATAACTTAGCAATAGAGGCGGATTTTTGTAATTATACTTAACATGAATTGATTTTAAAGATAGTTAAAAATAGCTTTGAGAAAATATTCAGATACAAATATGATTACCATA